GATATCAAGGTAAAAAGCTTGTGGGCTCGTGTACTTAACAAAATAGTATCTAGCCAACTTATGATTATACTAAGACACATTTCAAACAAAATAAGAAACTATAATACAATAAAACATTCAATTTCCTCTCAACTTAAAAGTACTTGTAATCAGTTAATCTATTCCTAGCCGTCGAACCTGATAAACTAGTAAAAAGTAAAGCTTGTGAAGATGTTTAAGCGTCTTATTGATCCGCACAGGAGTCTTAAACATTTTACTTCTCTACTGTTATTTTTGTGAAGGTAAAACCGAGAATACAGCAACAATCATTAACGAAGATGGTGTTATAACACTCGATCCGTGGGAACCACCTTCACATGGGATCATCTCTCTGTTGTTCAAAACACCTTATGCTGAGGGAACAATACTGTTCAACGGAGATACCACGAAAGATTATTTCCAATTGGCAATCATCAATAAAACCAGCATCAGACTGGAGTACAATATTGGCAATGGAGTTAACAAAATAGAATTGTCTCTGGCAAATGAAAAGAAATTGAATGATAGTAAATGGCACACAGTAACCGTTTATCGCAACATGTTACAATTTGGACTGAAGTTGGATGATGAAGAAAAACATATAAAAAACCCGTTGTTCAAAGAGAAAGAGTTAAACGTGGCTGGTAAGCTCAATGTTGGAACCAACCCCAGAGATGTTACCAAAGGATTTGTGGGCTGCATTCGTGGACTGGTAAGCAATTACTATAGCATATATGCATGTAACTTTCACTTCATCGACTTTATTATACTCATTCGATGTTCTATAATGTTACCAGGTTACCAGTCCTTAGAGACTTAGTTGGTTGTATCCAGTAAGTTAACACCGGTAATAGCGCGTAGCAAAGTTTGAAGAGTTTACGTTTCGTAATATTTGCGCTTCTTGAGAGGAGAAAGCTTTTCAATAGTTACTTCGACTGTGTAATCACCTATATCAACTAATAGTTGATAACCAGAATTTTTCTGTACTTAAGTTAGATGCTTGATCAACAGTACAAGGCTTTTTTTTTGCCATTTTTGTGCACATTAACAGAAACATCTGTGTTCAGTTTTTTTAATTTAAAGAGACCCTGTTTAGTATTATAGTAGAACAATTTCTTTATTGCTAGTCCTTATTTTTTAAAAGAAAATAAATGGGGACTTGTCGGAGGCTTACTGCATGCACAGTCTGAAAAATTCTGCACGTTAATTTTGTTTTTCACGAGCTTTGGGAATCTCACGAGCAACCTATTTTGGACCTTTGGAATTCGCGAGCTGCTGCTCTTTCGCCTCTTTAATGTGGTGGCAGTCACCCTTGACTGAGTTCTAACAGCCCTTTTGTATTTGTATTTGTACTTGACTGAGTTCTAACAGCCCTTTTGTATTTATATTTGTACTTCACTGAATTCTAACAGCCCTTTTGTATTTGTACTTGACTGAGCTCTAACAGCCCTTTTGTATTTGTCCTTTACCTTTATTGAACGGCCACTTAAAGCCCAACCACTCAGTAAAACTAAGAATAATCTTTCAAGTAAAATTCATTCCACTTTTATCTCCTGAAATCAATGTAAGCAGTATCTCTGAGCGAGTTATCGTACAATAAGTGGTCGATTTTGGCGTAAAATGGCGATTTTAATCAGTTTTTAAAATTCTCCTATCCTATGGAACTTGTGTTCATCCAGGTTCGGCTGTAATTGTCATAGAATCAGTTCACGCTACGTCCTACTTCCCTAACCCGCTATAAGTAAGGTAGCCAATCGCATTACAGAATTTGAGATCTTCGTGTGTGTAAAAAAAGGTGGCGAGTTTTAAGTCATTCAATGAAATGCAAACAGCTTTTTTCGAAGGTATGGCGTTCAAATCCTGGTAATTGTAGTAGAATTTCAAAGAAATCAACAGTCCACTACAGTGCAATTTTTTTTTTTCCAGACCATTAATGGTGTATCGATTGACTTGGAGGGATTAGCAAACTCCAAAGAATTCTCGTATGTGAAAGGTGGTTGTGGTGCGGCATGCGACAAAGATCAGTGCAAACTTAACAGTAAATGCGTGGATAACTATAATGTGTATCAATGTGACTGCAGTTTGACTCCGTTTTACGGCTACTACTGTTCTCTTGGTAAGTTGGTGTTACGCTTACATCTGTAAGTTGCCTAAGGCAAAATAGTCTCTAAATTTCCAAACATTTCGATAGTGAACATAATCTCAGACCTTCTTCCCCCTCTCCTCCCCACTAGCGACTGGTATCCATATTTGAGACGTGTCCTTTGTGGACCTCGCGATAACCTTCCCCACCCCCCCTACATTACTAAGAGAAAATCCATCCTCTCGAGACATGATTGAAGACCTCGCGACACAAACTGGGTAAAAGATTCACCGGGTTGGATGAGCTTTTTAAGTTTTGCGATGCTTTGTGTTGTTGCAAGCCATGCCTAGTCATTAGTTGATTGTCTTTTCCTGCTGTTGTCTGTAGATTATGGTGCATCGTTTGCTGAACAAGCCAGCGAGTTAACATACACCTACCCTAACCCGGAGAATGCACCCGGCGTGGATATAGTAGTTGGCTTTAAAGCGAATTCCGCAGACAAATGTGGAGGCGACTTACTTGAAATCACTAGTAAGGACAGTCAAGATTTCTTTCGGATTTCAATCAACTCGAACAAGAAACTCGTGTTTTCCTTTAAAAGCTCAATGGGTGATGGTTCATTCGAGATAAACCCCCCTGAAAACGAAGACTTCTGTGACTTAAATAGGCACACGTTTTCACTTATTCGCCGAAACGAGAAACTTAATTACACCGTTGATGGAAAGGACAAAAAGCAGCGAACAGATAACCGGCTGAAAAACCCTTTCTCACGCATGCAGACGATAATCGTTGGAAAAAAAGGTGATACCGGTTTCAAGGGCTGCCTCACAGGTGTCAAAGTGACGCCGTTTAGTTTTGACAAGACGAATTCAGCAATAAGTCCCATCAAGGATTATGTTTACGATGGGAAAACCAAGGGTTACACGGCCTCTGGTATTAGTGCGAATAGTAAAGAGAAGTGTGGCGAGGAGCCGGAGGTGCCTGAAGGTAAACCCACCCCGCGAGATCCGAGCAAAAGAGATGGGGCTTCTCCAAAAACAAATCCTTACGACCCGACGTCTGGTAGACGCACTGACGATGACAACAAGACAGCCATCATAGTGGTCGTGGTGCTTATCCTGGTCCTGCTGCTGGTAGTTTTATTGATTGTTATCTACTGGTACTGGGCCAGACACAAGGGAGAGTACCACACGCATGAAGACGACGACGAGCTCAAAAGCACTGATCCATACATAGACATGAACACCACCAGGAAAACGATGAGTGAAGACACGGAGAAAAAGAAAGAGTGGTTCATCTAAAGGTGGTCTACTTTGTTTATACGAGTTTGCATTTCTACAGCAATCATTGCTGTTCTTAGTCGGCCCTTTAAGCACTGCAAAATCGTTTCAATCAGTGCTGTGCTTGTCTGATCCTTTTCACCTAAATGAACCATTTCTAATTTCCTTATAAATCATGCTAGATGTCATCAGTATATAACTTCGTTGATGCTCGTCTCCTTAAACATGAGGAAAATTCGCATTAGGGGTTTTATGTGGTATTCCATGAACACCACACGTCTACTTTGCATGTGGTGTAGAACGACTAGCATCTTGACGGCGAAGGTTTTTCGTAATATGCAGATTTACAGCGTAAAGTTAAAGTTGTTATTTGTTTTCAAGGCGAGTTGATGAGCATATCTTCTAGTTCTGACTCGCGATGTTTCAATGGCAGTGTATTTTATTACTTTATCGAATCATAAAACTTGATGTATCAAATTCTTTTTACTGAAGTGTAATGTGCTATACACAGTTGTCTAGCATAGAGAAAGCTGATGTAACTTCAAGCCTTCGCCTTTTCTAGGCAATATTATTCCATCGAGTCACCGTAATGAAAAAGAGTTCGCACTAAGGAATCAGCGGTTTTGGAGGGGTTTGCTCGGTTTTTGGCTCAAAGCGCTCAGGAAGAAAACCACGCTACGTTGCATGATTATAAATTCATAATTTTGAGGTAAAACTATTAAAGTTTTCTTAATCGACTCGCGCTTAAGCTAACCGTTGGTAAAAAGTATGGTAAGAAAGTGCTTGTGTGTTTTATCGATCTTTTTTCGGTTTCATTTAATAAAAGTACATTTCTGTTGAATAAAGGTGGTAAGTTTCTAAAGAAACTGTGGCGCTGCGTCGGTGGGAGTAACAAGGTAATTTGATACATCAACAGTCGAAATTGTAGATTGGCCACCGTAAAGAGTTAAAAAGCTGACGTTTCGAGCGTTAGCCCTTCATCAGAGCGAAAGACGAAGGGCTAACGCTCGAAATGTCAGCTTTTTAACTCATTACGGTCGCCAATTTACAATTTCAACTTAGTTGATATACCAAATTACATTTCTGTTGATTCCGCTTGAGGTTTTTTAACCCTTTTCTTTTAGAGTAATGAATCCAAGCATCTTTGCATGGCATCAAAATCAAATCCCATTTTTCAGAATAAGAAGTGTCAACGCTCAATGTGGAATTCAAGGTTTTTGCGCGCTTGGTTCAAAGTTTGTCTTATGCAAATATTTATCACGTATCGAGGTAAAAATTTTCTTTACTTATCTTCGTACAGTCTTGCAGGGAATGAAATGAAACATTTAATACGCGTCACCTCGGTGAATAGATACTTTTTTTTGCAAACTGGACAGTAAAAGGAGAAGTAGGTTTCCTACATATGTAGATTGAATGTACATGTTAAAAAACTCCTGAATTATCAAGTAGAAAATGTAGCTTCAGTAGATGCTCAAGGTTTTTTAAAGACTGTTGTTCGAAGACCAAAACAAGGCTTCCGGGATTGCGCTCAACCAGTTAGTCGAATAAAGCATGAATTGGAGTTCCTCTCTCATCTAGAGTTCTTTCACAATCGTCTGTCTTTGACTCAGTCACAGACTTGATAACACTTACCGAGCAGATTTTCTTTTGCGGAGATCTTGTCGAAGTTTTCTTTTTTGCACATAGAAAGAGACAAACTACTCCACGTAGGAGTATCACTTTGATCATCTGTGTGATTTTACCGTAATTATCGAACCAAGTTTTAGTGGTTGTGAGTGCTTCAATCCTCTGCAACCTCAGTTTGATGTAATTGGCGCTGTCCTCTTGCTTGGGTTTTTGTAGCAGTTTTACGAAGAGACTTGCTTTGGTCTTGAACAACTTGTGAAAGTGTCTTCTCTTTTGTACTCCTTATCAGCTGCAAATTACAAATAAAGCTTTTAAAACAAAAGCGGGAAAGACCTTGATTTCTTGGTTATACATCTTTTGCAACCAACGGCTCTACCATTTCCGTCCAAGGAGTGATCGAAAATTAATTTCTCCCTTCGATAGTAAACATTCTAAAGCAGTGAAGTTTTGGGAAGAAAAGGCATTATAGTTACATTTGACTCTGAATTCTCGAAGCTTATGTAGTGCAGACGGGGGATGGCGGAGAACAGGTATCACTTGTCATTTCGATCTTGTGGGTGCAGGTGGACCCTTGTGCGGTCTGACAGTTTGACACGGGTCAGACGCCGTGGCTTATCGCGACGGGATCGTTTGCATTTCAGACTGCCGATTTCTCCACACCCATAACCATCGTTTTGAGAGAATTTTGTTCTAAAATGTCCCTTTCGTTGGTTGAATGGTTGGGAAATGACACTCATGACACTGCAACACAAGAAGTGGTCAGGGAAGCTGGCAGAATTAAAAAAGATCCCCATACTGTCTGTGGAGGAGTCTTGACAGTTTTTAACCTTTCCTCAAATTACTAGTCGCTCAGCTCCTCGCAGTTTAGTTGGAACGGGAGCGCAAAGTGTAATCAGGGCGGAGAGAGTTTAAGGACCTTTCCGCCCTGGTGTGGTGGTTTTCGTGCCGTGTACGTTATTCGGGCCCTAGCTAGTCGTGTGAGGATAGACAACGTAATTCAATGGAGAACTCGCTCTCCGGTGGACAAATGTCAACAAAACATACTGCACTATGCACTGGATAGAGATTTATCCAGTGACTAGCGTTAACTACCCTTCGAACAACTAGGGCCAGGTGGCTAAGCCCTAGTCACTATATTACCCACGAAGTTCTGAAAGTACCGGTAGCCGGTTGCGTTTAGTAACCGTGGACGACCGTTCCATTCCAAGCCACAAAACGGTTATGCACTGAGTCGTCGTCCACGTTCTCGTCCTCATCGCTAAAGGTCGTAGGGAAAGGGCAACACTTTGAACCTTACGGCAATCCAGAATCCTGAGTTCACACCGCAAAATTTATCACCCTACTGGGTGGTAATGTAAAAAAATGATTTTTCATCTCAATTTTTTCTCTGAAGCAATTCACTAGCAAGAAGGGAATATAACAAATACTCCATGGTTCTGGAGTTAAACCGAGCAGAGAATTTTAAACCAGCTCAATTGGTTAGAGCGCCGAACTGTTGTACGGGAGGTCGAGGGTTCGATCCCCGGCCGGACCAACACTCAAGGTATTAAAATAATTTAAAAGAATCTGCTACCTTTCTATAATATCAAGGAATGCATAGACATTCTAGTCTTTTCGGATAAGGACGAATAAACTGCATCCATTGATTAGTTAATTTGGTTAGGCAGGGGACGTAAAAGAACCCACTCACGAATGAAGGTAATTTGGTAATATCAACTAAGTTGAAATTGTAAATTGGCCACCGTAAAAAGTTAAAAAGCTGACGTTTCGAGCGTTAGCCCTCCGTCAGAGCGAATGAGATTACTGTAATGTGGTCTGGCCTATTTACTGGAAATTGGGGGTGAGGGGGCATCTTCAAATAAGTTTCCTTCGATTGATTGTAAACTGCTGATGCAGTCCGGCTAAGTCCCTCGAAAAGTGTTGTGATGCGCATTTGATCGTATCCAAATGTTAATTTGCGCAATATAAATACTAAATCATTTATAATTAAAAGTGTTGTATTGTTACTTTCGGAATTTCATGGTATTTCATAGTCAAACCAGGACTCCTATAAAAACTAGATGAGGTAGATATTTTCAGCACAAGGCAAGAGGGGATTATGTCAATAAGCCTGAGGCGCATGGTCAATAAGCCTGAGGCGCATAATTGCTCGGCTACTTTTGACTTCTGTTTTAAATTCTGTAAATAAAGAAAGCATTCCCATAAGCATATTTTGTTATAATTGTTGTGATTACGCGTTTCAAGACAAGCAAGAATTTTTAGCAGGTTTATTCTATTAAATCAGCTAAAACTTCATATATTTCTTTTAAAAAGTGTTCCGCCATACTCAGTAGCATGGTTTTAGAATAATAAATATTCTCCTGTATCGATCGCGTTTATCACTTCCTCGAAAACATTGACAAAGCGCGAAGCAGCCACAGTTATATGCGGGCTCAATAACCTGATAAAGCATCCGCTTGGAAAATGAATTGACCAATCAGACAATGCGTACTG